GGCTCTTTTGTCCCTTTTTCCCCCCCTCCTAAAGTGTTGAGAAGCTTCAATTTAAATCCTTTCTGTGTTTTGCCTGTAAGAATGTGGCACACAGGTGTTTTCCCCTCTTTCAGGTCTCACTGCCCCTAGAAACAATTAGTGGATGTCACTGCTGAAAACTGGATCTGTTGGTTTGCCATAACAAATGCTTTTCTGGTTTTACATTTATTTCTTTGGCAGTGGAATGGTGGGTCTGAATTCCAATGGAATTTAAACACAAACACATATTTATGTTAAAGAAGAGTTATAGGCATGTGGTAAATTCTTCCTCCACCCCCAGGCTCTTTGCTCTGCATGTCCAGAGTGATTCATAAAGCCTGGTTAACTTCTCCAGGGATTTCCCCCTGTAGGAAACTGGGGCACAGCAGTGGAACTGGGGCTCCCTGGATAGCCTGACCAGTCAGAGGGTTTGGAGCACAGCACTGGCTGAGCATTAATGGTTCTGTCCAAATTTGCCTTGTACAACAGATGCTCCCTGTCTGCTGAGCTAAAGCCTAGCAAAGGATACTCCTTAATATTGCCTTGTGGTTGTGACTGGATGCCCATTTCCCCAAAGGCAGCAGTTGTTTCTGTTGAGAAATTCCTTGTGAGGTTTCAAGGTTGTTTTTATTTAACTATTATTATTATTATTTTCAGCGACAATTTCATAGTGAACATTCCCCAGTGGAGAGTGTGTGTTTCTTAATTGCCCATAGGAATGTGGCATTAATTCCTGGGTCTCCTGGGTTTTTTTGTTCAGGAAAGTTAAGTCTATGAAATCTGTAGAGTCTCATCTTTTTAAAGACATAATGCAAACCAAAAAGGATGTGCTGTTCAGAGAAATGTTTGTGGCTGTGCTCTTTTCTTTTCTAACTATTTCTGTCTTAATTCCCAGGCCATTCACAATTCCTCAGGTCTTGAGACCTAAAGGACAGGATGAAGGACAGGAGACAGAGGAAGAAGATGAAGAGGAGGAGGAGGAAGCTGAAAAGGAAAGAACAAAGGTGACATTTAGCTGGATTTGCATTAAGATTTACCATATTTCTTCCCTGCTTCACCTGCAGTTGATGTGGAGCAGATTTCCTGTTTCAGAGAGGGAATCTTTGAGCAGCAGCAGGGACTGAGCTGCTGTTCAGTGGCTGCTGATGTGTCCCCAAGGACAGCTCTCCACTGCTTCCTGGCCTGACTGTGCTGGAGCAGTGACACTTCCTCCGTGGGGAGCTTTAATCTGCTTTATCCCAGAGATAGACAGTGCCAGCAGAGCACTCTGAGGGTCACTGACACTGTTCCCATGGATGTGCTGGGAGTAGCCATGGTTTGGGAAGATTTTCAGGCAGGTTTTGTACCAGGTGTTGTGTTTAGAGTCCCTGACACCAATCCCACTGGTCCAGAGGTAATGAACCAGGAATTGACTCTGTTCCCAACAGAATCCTCTCCTCTCCAGGCTTCTGCATGGTGCTGATGAGTTTCCTGACCTGTTCCCTTGCCTCCTTGTAGGACCACTTTGTTCAGGACCCGGCAGTCCTGCGGGAGAGGGCTGAAGCCAGGCGCCAAGCATTCCTTGCCAGGAAGGGGTAAGCAAGGATCTCCCTCCGGCTCTGCAGCTGTTTTACTGCTGACTGGAATAGCAATTCCAGGGTGTTCCTGCTCCTTGACATTCCTGTGTGCCACCCTTTACTTCCCTGCTGGTTGTTTTATCCCGTTCAATAGGGGTAGGCGTGGCATGGAATCACGGAGTGGTTTGGGTGGGAAGGGACCTTCAGGACCATCTCGTTCCACCTCTTGCCATGGCACGGACACCTGCCACTATCCCAGGTGGCTCCAAGCCCCTTCCAACCTGGCCTTGGACACTTCCAGGGATCCAGGGGCAGCCACAGTTGCTCTGGGCACCCTGAGAACAATTCCTTCCCAGTACCCAATCTAAATCTCCCCTTTTTGCCATAAAGCCATTCCCCTTTGTCCTGTCACTCCAAGCAGCAGAACCCTGTGCAAGACAGAATCTTGGAGTGCACAACTTCCAGAGCTCCAACAGCTCCCACAAGGATTTTGGGACAGTTTCATAGCTGTTTTCAGCTGATGGGCTCAGTGTGTGGAAGGACAGTGGTGGTGTGGCTGCTGCTGGGATGAGCCGAGGCCCGAGGCTGAAGCCCTCACACCCCAGTGTGGTGGGGGTCTGGGATTTTGTCCCCAGTGTGCCTGTTGTGATGTCCTTTCTCTGTGTCCTCCAGGTACAAGCACGACAGCTCTGCCGTTGTTGGGAATGCCAAGGGCCACGGGCAGAACCGGGAGACGGTGCAGGAGCGGAGGAAGAAAGAAGCGAACAAAAGCACAAGAGCCAACCACAACCGCCGGGCCATGGCCGACAGGAAGCGCAGCAAGGGCATGATCCCTTCCTGAGCAGCTCCTGGGGCAGGGGCTGCACCGTCCCCAGGCCCTGCCCAGGAGGAGGCTCCGTTTCCTCAGCGTTCCCTTTGCTCAGGGGATGGATGTTGTGTGCAATACCCGGCACCTGGGCTCACACGGAGCTGCATTCCCTGTGGGAGTGCTGCCTGTTCCCAGGAAGGAGCTGCCCTGACTGTGTGCCAATGGCTGCACCCAATACACGGGACAGGCTGCAGCAGCCATTCCTGCCCTTTTGTACTATTTATAATTCGCAGAGTTTTATTTTCATACTGGCTCCATGCGCCCTCCGTGCCCACCCTGGAGTGGGCAGCTCCGAGAGCACGGCTTCCATGGAAATGCCTTATCCTGAACTTGAGTTACAGGTTGTCTCAAGCTGGAAGGGACCCACAGGGATCATCCTGTCCCACCCCTGTCCTGCCCAGACCCCCCAACAACCCCACCCTGGGCACCCCTGGCAGCGCTGTCCAAACGCTCCTGGAGCTCTGGCAGCCTCGGGGCCGTGCCCATTCCCTGGGGAGCCTGGGCAGTGCCAGCACCTCTGGGGGAAGAACCTTGCCCTGATCTGCACAGCTGCATGCTGGCAGAGAAAGGCTCAGGCTATTCCCACTGCCAACAGAGCCACAGGGGTTCAGGTGAGTAAGACCTTAGGGATTTCTGTCCCTTGAGTGAGGCCTGTGAAGACAGATGGTACAAATAAAAGTTGTAGATGTCTTAGTTGTTTTTTTTAAGGCCCTTACAGAAAGTATTGATGAACTTCCTGGTATCCAATTAGGCTTTGTTTGGTTAATTTACTGGTTAATGTGCCCTGACTGCCATCTCCCCACCATGCTGTATTTTCTTGCACTGTAACAGTGCCTGTGGCATTTTCCCACTGTGAGAAAATCAGCAATGGTTGTGTTCCAGGGCAATCCCAGTGCTGCAGGAGCAGTGGGGTGGTCAAGTGGTAGTAGGGTGGTTGTAAGGTCCACACCTTGGTGCCTGGTGTGGTGCAGAGGGCAGGAATGTGACTGGAGCTGCTGTGGGGCTGTTTGCAAAGCAGAAATGCAGCAGAACAGCCACTGCCATAAAGTGAGGGGAAGCCCTGAGTGCTCTGAGATTTTTCTTTGCCTATCAGTGCTGCCCAAACCTCCCAAGGACAGGCATGGAAAAAGGAATTACATTTACCAGCATCCCTAAATCCTGGATCCAGGGCAATCCCCTGCTGGGATAACGCTGCTTTCCTGCAGCTCCCACTCTCTGCACCGATGGCTTCAGCTCCTCCCTGCTGCCCACTGCAGTGCTGTCCCCTCATCCCGTATTCAGCTTTGGTTCCTGCTGCTCAGAGCCTGCAACTCTCTCTGAGCTGCTCAGCCTGATGTGGAACCAGCAGCAGAGCACAGGGAGCTGGATGGGATTGTCCAGGAAAGCTTAAACCTTTCTCTTAACCATCTCCATAAAGCACAGCTGGAACTGGGACAGCTGTACTTGGGTTTAGCTCCAAGAACACAAGTGTTTAAGTGCTCTTTGTGTTCTCACAGTAAATGTTTTACCCCCCTGGCACTCGTTTGCAAACACAACAAAGCTGCTGTGAGCACTGGCTCTAATGGGCTCTGCGCCTCAGCCTGTGCTGAAATTTCTCCTGATCAGTGAAAACTGAGGGGAGAGAGAGAGATGGGGCTGCTGGGCTGGCAAAGGGGGAAGAGAAGGAGTCACTCAGGCAGGTCTCCCTACAGCCACCTGAGAGCTGAGGAATTAACTGAATCATTGCCCCAGGAAGTGCCCAAATATCCTCTCCCATGTAAAAAGTGTTTGACAAGGCCAGGCAGGGCTGGGCTCTTCAAGAAGGTTCAGGGGGAAGGAACTGGACAATCTTTAAGGTCCCTTCCCATTCAAACCTTTTCATGACTCCTCCTCCAAAGCTGCTGGGGTGAACTGAGTGATCCCTCTCCCTTCCCAGCACCTTCCCTTGAGTCAGCTGAGATGGAGGCAGGTGTGTGACACACAAACCTGACATCACTTCTGCTCCTCGAGCCATGGCAGGAGCCAGAAGGGACAGGAATAATGAGGAAAGGGATCCCCATTCTCAGCCCAGCAGTGCAGAGCACATTCCTCTGGTAGGGCCAGGCCGGGAACTTCCATCACCACTCAGCTACAAAAAGGTGCTGTGAATGATTTTAAGCCCCTTTTCTGTGGGCAGACCAGAAGATGCAGACAGCTTCTCATCCTTCCCAGACAGAAGCCAAGGGCTGTAATGAACTACAGCTGTCTTAAGTGCTTTCAAATTTTTAAGACATTGTGATTCCTGACAGTGCCTTGCAACTCAGGAACAGGGCTGTTTTTAAAGATTCTCCACCTCCCAGAGAAAGAGGAGGCAGTGAACACACAGACACAACACAGGACCAGGAGTTTTATTTGAACACAGTAAGTCGAGTACAGCAGCAGAGCTCCTTGAGTCCATCTGGCTTCACATCATATCAGTAGGTGGCTGATAACATCTGGCTCGGAGTTGTTCCAGCAGGAATCCATTCCCAGTTTCAGGAGGCTGAATCCCTCAGCTGGTCCCTGCTGCTGAGCTGCTCAGTTCTCATACTTGTGCTTGATGTGTTTCCACAGTTTCTGCATGCAAAACAAGCAAGGGGGAAAAAAAAATAAATCAAGATGTTTTAGGCATCTTCTTGATGGGATTGGGATAACAGAATCCAAAATACAAATTATCCTGCTTGGGGAGGCGGTGATGGAGTCCTGGACTGGATCTGGGGGACACAGGGATGCACGTGGGGGCTCCTGGCTCCTAATCTGGACAGGGAGGCAGCTGCAGAGATTCCCCTTCCCCTGTTCAGCTCTGGATTAGTGGCCCAGAGACACTGCCTTGAATTCCCACCCAGACTGGAGAGGGCAGTTCTGCTCCTGCACACAAGAGATGCACAGAACAATCCTATTCATGGAATCATGGAATGGTTTGAGTTGGAAGGGACCTTAAAGCTCATCCAGTCCCACCCCTGCCCTGGGCAGGGACACCTTCCACTGTCCCAGGTGGCTCCAAGCCCCAATGTCCAACCTGGCCTTGGACACTTCCAGGGATCCAGGGGCAGCCACAGCTGCCCACCCTGCCAGGGAACAATTCCTTCCCAATATCCCATCCATCCCTGTCCTCTGGCAGTGGGAAGCCATTCCCTGTGTCCCGTCACTTCAGGCCCTTGTCCAAAGTCCTCCTCTCCAGCTCTCCTGGAGCTTCTGTAGGCCCTGAATGCAGCTCAGGTCTCCTCCAAGCCTGCCTCGGTATCCTGCAGTCATTATCCCATCACCACTGTACTTAGGAACCTAAGGACGACTTGACCTCTTTCACCCAAGGTTCACGCTGGGCCATCCAAGGCCACCAGCCCTTATCCCTTTCCTCCGCCAAGGGCAGATCGGCCAAGCCGGGGGACTACAGAGCACAGAAGAAGCTCCTTTTACCCCTCCCGCTCTCCACTGCCTTGCACGCCCCTTCCAAGCGGCGAGAGAAGTCCAAGGACTCCCCGAAGCACCGAGTGCCACGACAGCAGCAGAGCCCCCTCGACGAGTCGCGCTGACCCTCAGCGAGCCCCGCGGCCGAGCAGCGCTGACCCTCAGCGAGCCCCGCGGCCGAGCAGCGCTGACCCTCGGCGAGCCCCGCGGCCGAGCCGCAGCCCAGGGCTGCCGGGGCGCGGCCCGCGCGGGGCCGGCCTGACCTTCAGAGCTGGGCCCACACCCGGGCGGCCCCAGCGGGGCCTTACACAGCCCTTACCCCTTGATTGAGCTGCTCGAAGAGCGCATCCGCGGCTTGGTCGAAGGCGCGCTCGAAGACCACCGCGCCCAGCACGACCGACAGCGCGAACGTGGAGCTGCGGCGGAACAGCGCCCCGTACACCTGCCGCAGCAGCGCCATCTTGACCGCGCGCTCCGCGCCTGCGCCGCCCCGCAGGGGCTGCTGGGGGCTGTAGGCGGTGCTCTGCTATTTGAACAGAGTGCCAGCGTCCGTGGGGCATGCTGGGAGTTGTAGGCCGCGTTCTGTGGGCTTTGTGACCTGCGCATGCGCCTTTGCCGTGAGGCATTGAGGGAGTTGTAGGCGGCGGCGGCGCGGGCCTGGCCAGAGGTGGGTGAGTGTGGCAGGGGGTGCCGGGGGTCCCTGTGAGGGGTTCCTGTGAGGGAATTTAAACACTCCAGTCCTCCTGTCCCTTCTGCCTTGTTCTCAGAGGATCCCGCTGGGCAGCCCCGGGTCTCTGCCCGGCTTTATGCGGTGAAACCAGCTCGGCCGTGGCTGGGGCGGGGGCAGCGGGGAGGGAGGGCTGAGGGGACAGAGACACCCCGGGCCAGCCCTGCCCTGCCCTGCCCAGGTGTGCGGCCAAGGGTGACAGGGACAGGAAAGAGGCTGCGGTCATTGCCCTCAGCTCACCCCCGGAAGGCGGGTGGGAGGGGGTTTGGGATGTTTTCTGCAGTTTGGGATTGGAAAAGGTGGTTGTTGTCAGTGTCGGGGGAGTGGGAGAGGGGTGTGGGGCTCAGGAATCATGGAATGGGTTGGAAGGAGCCTTGAAGCTCATCCAGTGCCACCCCTGCCCTGGGCAGGGACACCTCCCACTGTCCCAGGCTGCTCCAAGCCCCATCCAGCCTGGCCTTGGGCACTGCCAGGGATCCAGGGGCAGCCCCAGCTGCTCTGGGCACCCTGTGCCAGAGGACCCTGGCAGCTGCTCCAGAGGCCTCGGGAGGAGTGGGACCTGGCCCCATGTGGCAGAAGAAAAGTGGGAACGTTCCCATTTGCTGCCCTATCTTTGTGTTTCTCTTTTTAATCTCAGTAAGGGCAAGCAGCCTGGGGTGACTCTAGCACGGATGGTAGAGAGGTAGATTTGGATTTAGGAAGGCAGCACAGACAGGGATGGGACAGAGGAATCCTGACACTGAAGCTGTTTCCCCACAGGGCTGTTGTTAAACATGAAATTCCAGAGCAGACCCTCAAGTGACACTGCTCTGTCATTTTGTTTGTCTCACCCACTCAGAAGTAGCACAGGGTCTGGCTGCAGAGTAATTTCTCCTGATTTATTTATGTTTGTTCCCTCATGCAGTGTCTGTGGGGATCTGTGGGATTTTTCTGGGTTAGGACAAGACCTTTGCTTGTTCTGGAAGCCTGGAAGGTGCCTGGCACATTCCTGTAGAGTGTTATCCCTTTGGAACCCTGGAATATCCTGAGTGGGAAGGGACCCAGGATCATCCAGCCCAGCCCTGGCCCTGCCCAGACCCTCCAACAACCCCACCCTGGGCATCCCTGGCAGCGCTGTCCAAACGCTCCTGGAGCTCTGGCAGCCTCGGGGCCGTGCCCATTCCCTGGGGAGCCTGGGCAGTGCCAGCACCTCTGGGGGAAGAACCTTGCCCTGCTCTGCAGCCTGAGCCTGCCCTGGCCCAGCTCCAGCCCTTCCCTTGGGTTCTGTCCCTGGTTACCACAGAGCAGAGCTCAGAAAAACTCAATTTTTATTTTTCAAATGTAACTGCTCTGGATTGTCTAAGACTAATTGCCCCAACTGCCAATTAATTGGTGTTTGTGTGTGGTCAGATTGGTGTTGATCCCGAGTCAAGATCTGGATTTCCACTAGAAGTGTCCCTACCTGGCAGGGGTTGGAATGAGATGAGTTTTAAGGTCCCTTCCAACGATTCCGTGATTCTATGACAGGACACAGGGAATGGCTCCCACTGCCAGAGGGCAGGGATGGACGGGATGTTGGGAAGGAATTGTTCCCTGGCAGGGTGGGCAGGCCCTGGCACAGGGTGCCCAGAGCAGCTGGGGCTGCCCCTGGATCCCTGGAATTGTCCAAGGCCAGGTTGGATGGGGTTTGGAGCAGCCTGGGACAGTGGGAGGTGTCCCTGCCCATGGGAGGGGGTGGACCTGGATGAATTTTAGTGTCCCTTCCAATCCAAATCATTCCATGATTTCCTCTGGGTGTAATGGAAAGCAGGATCTGTGCCTGTCATTGGGAAGGTGCTGGCAGATTCTGCTGCCATTCCAAGTATCCCTGCAGATCTGAGCCCATTTAAATTGGCAGCTGAGTATCATAAGCCTGACACTTGGATTTAATTAATTCACATCTGCCTGGGTAGCCAAAGTGGCTGGAATGGCCCCGAGCCCAGGCTGTGAGAAAGCAGGAAATTGAGGTCAAGGCCCAGGCACCTCCTGGGGCTCGGTGTGGAGAGCAGCAGCTCTCCCCAGACATAAAGGAGTCTGTGCCCCTTCCAGGGTCACCTTCTTCCCTCTGTCCAATGAAACACCCTGGGGAGTCCGAGATAAAACCTGCAGCTGATACAGAGCAGCATGGACTGTTCTGGCAGCAGCTGGAGAAGGGAAAATGTGGGAGGGTGCCCAGGGTATCTCGGCTGGAATTGTCCCAAGACCCTTGCTGTCACCTTCAGGGTGCCTCACAGCAGGGTATTGCTCACCCAACAGGAGACACAGCTCTGCATTGCTGTTACACTTTCATACAACACAAAGCCCTGGGTTATTGGGGTTCTGGGGTTTTTTTTATTTGCATTTATTCAGGAAGACTTTTAAGCTAGCACAAAGCCTGGCTGGAAGCATTTATGGCTGCGGTGGGTCCAGGTCTGAGTGCTCTGATTCGGTTGCAAATCAGGGGCTGGAGATGCTGAGACAGTTCTTTATAGAACAGCTACATTTACTTTATTTCATAGTGACTAAGATGGATCTAATTAGGAACCATCTCTATTTTCAGCTGAAAAATGCTCTTTGTTTACTGCTGGAGCCGTTAGGGGAGATGGAAATAGGTTGGTGCTGCTCAGAAGCAGCTTTTTACTCCTCCGGACTCACAGAGTGCTGGGAAGTGCTGGTGTTGCAGACAGTTGGCAGAACCCAGCAAGGTATCCATGCAGTGGAATCCTTGAAAAGATGGGAATAAGTGTTGGGTATAATCACTGAAGGGGGAAGTCTCAGGGAGAATCTGATACTCCTGTAATTGCTTTTTACGATCCTTCCGTCCCTTGCAATGGGAATTGCTTGGAGAATTTGGGAGCAGGCAGCTGTGGGATGTGGGATCTGGCTGTCTGGAATCTGTAGGAGCTTTCTGCCCTGGTTGTTGGGGGAGGAGGGGGAAGGAGCTTCTGCAATTATTGCTGTCGGGGTGATGAAAGAGAAAGTTTGAAATACGATTTCAAAGGCTGGCTGCTGCTGGGCTTCCGCAGGCAGAATTCCCTGGGAGATCTCTGGAAACTTGTGTGGGACCACTGCAGAATCTCATTTGTTTTCCCTGTTTGCAGCATTCTCTTCTGCAGACACTGAGTGCAGGAGCCAGCAGCTGAGACAGGGAGCTTTTTGTGTCACCAGGAACTTTGGGAAGACTATGGAATAACATGTGGAACAGGGATTTTTTCAGTATTTAAAAGCAGACCCCGCCAGTGGGCCAGACTCATTCTCTCTGAATTCCAGCAGCCCCACCACAGTGCTGCAAACCTGGCTGCAGAACTCAGGGATGCAAAGGATGAGGGAATTTATGGCTCCATGCTCATTAAACATTGCTTGGGGTTGGGTTCTTGGGCTGGAGGAGGACGATTTCAGACCTCAAGCCCTACAGAGGTGAGTCAGGCTCAGCCCAGGACATGGGGGATTTGGGGTCCCAGCACACACAGCTGGGGCATGGCCAGCCCTCACCCTCCCAGGAAAGAACCTCAACATGAGATTTCCAGTTCACTTGGAATATCTGAACATTTTACCTTCAGTGTGGAGGTTTTCAATCCAATTTAAAAAATCTCAGGAGGTCTTCCCATCAAATGCAGCTTTGCTTTAACTTGTGGTGTGAGACCTTGGAGATTTCCAGGGGTTTGATTTGGAAGCAGCAGTTCCTGGGAGCAGGGAGGGAAGGGAATGTGGTGGTGGTGCTCCTGCTGGAATGGATGTCAGGCAGGAGGCTTGGCAGCCCTGCCTGAGCTGGGCACACCGGGCTCTGAGGGACTGCCTGGTGCTCTGCTCTTCGTGCTGAGCCAGAGGAATCAGCTGGGGGGCTGTGATTGATTCTGGGCTCGTTTTATTTATAAAATCTTTATTTCTTGTGCTGGTCTCTGTGCCACTTTTTAAATGCATTCAGCTGTCAAAGTGTCAAAACCTGGAGAATTGCTTTTGGAGTTTATCTCCCAATCCATCCATCTTTGCCATTCATCAGGTACCTTTATATCCCTCAGGAGAGAGCTTACAGCTCCTTCAGGGTGTTTGTTGCACCTCCGGCAGGAACACCCGGTGGGGAGAGGTGCTGAAGGATAAAACACAAGCAGATCTCACCTGCACTGACAGTGGCTCCAGGTCCAGCGCAGGTGGGAGCTCCCAAATTCTGTTCTGATCTTAGTGCTGTACTCAGAGCAGACACACCTTGGTGCTGTAGGCTGGGGAGAATGGGGAGAACAATCCGTGATGTACAGGTGGCTCAGGGGATTGTAGAAAATGTGTCCTGTAATGTTTGTAATGCAGCTTCCCACCTGCAGGACGGGTGAGATCAGCTTCTGTTTTATCCTTGAGGATAAAATGAGCTTTGCTGAGTTTCTTCCTTATCTTGCAGAGATGGACACAAGGGAGTTTCCTTCTTCTTTTGTATCAGCTGGTGGAGGTTGTGGTCAAAGGTCCCCAGGACCTCCAGCTCCTCCTGCTTGCACCTTGGATGGTTTGTGCTGCACCTTCCCTGGAGCCTGTGGCTCTCTGTTTTCTGTGTTCTGAACTCAGGGAAGGGAAATCCTTCTAGCAGAGCTGTTGCTCCTTTGAGTGACAGAGATAAATGCAGATCAGGCCTTTCCTCCCATGTACAGGCAGCAGATCCTGCCCCAGCAGTCTGTGATGGACAAGGATATAAACTGTTGGGTCTCACCTCTTCCTCTGTCTGCCAACCCTAAGTGATTTGAGTTCTCCTCCTTTGGAAGCAGGCGCTGTAAATCCTGGATC